ATATATATATATATATATATATATATATATATATATATATATATATATATATATATATATATATATATAGTGCAGTGCAGTGCTCAATACCATAAAGATAGAGCAAAATATTCGCGCAACAGTCTGTTTCATCAGTAAAGAATCATCAGGCGGTATGACAAGTTTCAAAAATAGGGCTGTTTATATGGGGGTTTTTTCCGAAACGAGTAATGATATTCGCACCCGTATATCGGTCATGCACTCTATTTACTTTGTTTCTGTAGAGAAGAAACATGATATTGTTTCCGCTATTCCAAGCTGCTTGACGATAGGAGATTAATTTTTTGATCCCAGATGTTACCCAGGGCTTATCACTACTATCCGATTTTATACGTTTCATTGAAAGGTACTGGTGGACAATGCCATTAAGAATGAATGAAAAGTAATGAAACTTATCGTTGCAAGAGTCCATACTATACAGGGGAGACCAATTTATACTAGACAAAGCCTCGAAGACTAACTTCCGATTAGGGGATCGCGTGTCTCTGACCATTCGGGTACTCCGGGAGTTCATACATTGCTTCAGCGGTTTTATCAACACTGAGTTATGGTCAGAGAAACCGACAGGTGGGAGAATCTCACGAACGTTATAAAATTTGGACGCATTTATAAATATTTTATCTAAGATGTTGGATCCTCTTGTTGCATGCTTAACAACCTGTTTAAGGGAAAACCAGTTACATAGTTGACTGTGCCTAAATTGGTTGAAATCGCCTGCAATGATGATAGCTGACGCAGGATAGTATGTTAATGCACTTTCGAGAGACTCAATAAGGTGTGTTAACAAGACCCTATCGTCGCTTTTCGGTGGATGGTAAATTGCAGCTAAAATGATAGAATTAATTCCTCGTGGTATAATCACGCATAGCATAGCTCAGTTATTATTGGCACAAATCAAATGAAATATTGCATGCTGATAGTACATGATGAGAAGCATGGGAAAATATTTCCCCTTGCACTGATTTTGAATAACTAGTTGCATTTATCTATGTGTATGTTATTTTCGAATTATTATCAGCCAAGTAAACGTTTGGCATGCATAGTTATGGTACACATACTTCTGATATTATTTATCCTCAACAGTACCATGAATAAAGCTGTGTTATAAAATTGGCGCAAGGGACCTGAGAACGACATTGTTACCTTAGCAACAAAATTAGAAGTGTTTTTCAATGTGTCTCATCATGTACAATCAGCATGCAAAATTTCATTTGATATGGGCCCATAATAACTGAGCTATGCTTCAGTTTACTATTCATTAAACATAAAACTTACCCTATTCTCACTGGGAGTTCTAGCAAACAATGGCACTTTAGCTTTGGTTTAGAATTAGGTGATAGGCTTGCTTAATCCCATTCGGCTAATCACTTGGGATGTAGGTCTGCATAAATATAAGGTCAGAACTGGGTTTTTCACAGTTTGCTACGAAGACGATCGAGCCAAGGTAACAAACTTTCTTGTGCGGGGAAGCTCCGTGTCGCAGCCGTGCCTTGATATATACTCATGGCAGAACGGGTCCAACCACAGCGAGTCAACGTAGATGCCGTACTGGCTGAACATGCCACATTGCCGCAAGAACAGCCTCCAGCACAGCCCGGCCTTAATGGTGATGCTCCCGTCGATGTTGCTCCCGGCGTCGACAATGCCACGCCAGCTCAGGTTCAGGTACATTTCTTTTCTCCTAACCAGTGTAACGTTCTTCGTTCGCCGGTTATTTGGGTGCACGATGTGTGTATTCGAATGTGCTGTCCAGACCTTTACAGTTTAGTCCTCTGTTTGCACAGATTCTTCCTTTTCCAGTACATGCCAACGAGTTTTGTCTTACATCTGGTCGGTTGCGGTGTTATAGCTCAGTTCCTGTCATGCTTCTGTCTATCGAGAGGGGCAAACTTAGTACGTCTTTATACGCTGTCTCAGGACGGAATTCTTGTGTTCGGAGGCTGGCGGGACGCTGAGTTGGCCGCTGCATGGGTTTATTTTTATAACTTTCCCAGCTCGGGTAAGGATAGTCGCTCATAATTTCGACTGGCGCTTTCCATCATACAGATCTATGCTTTTAGGCGTGTTTATGTACAGTACACTGCCTTCGGCTCTTTAATCAAGCGATTATATACCGAATAATACCGAATGAGATTCATTTATGCTTTTGAATAAAGCGATTAGGTCGCACTTGGTCCTTTTATGCTGTTGGATTACGCGGTTGTACGAAATTTATATGTTTGATTAAACTCAATACAGACTTTATGTCTTGGAATAAGGCGCTTTTACAGACCGAGACTCTTTTAGGCCTTTTCATAAGGCTATATACAGCATAAGACCACTTAGGCTTTTGAATACAGCGAGTCCCTGGACTGTGATTTCAGCTATGCTTTTGAATAAGGTGATTGTAGGGCATGTGTTTACAGTTATACGTTTGAATAAAGCGATTGTAGGGGTTTCGGTTATATGCTTTTCGATAACACGATTGTAGGGATTGTGTTTTCAGTTATGCTTTTCGATAAAACACTTGTATGGAACGTGTTTTCTGTCACGCTTTTGACTAAACTAACGCGATTGTATGTACTGCAGTGTTTTCAGTTAAGCCGGTTTTCCACTAGGCGGAATTTTGCGCGCGGAACGGAATTTTTCTTTGTTTTGTGATTTCTCGGGTGGAACTAATTAGTAAAGATAAAGAAAATTTACGCTGCGCGCTCAAAATTCCGCCTAGTGGAAATCGAGCTTAACGCTTTGAATAAAGCACTTGTATGGCATGTGTTTTCCGTTCGGCTTTTCAATAAAGCGATTGTATGGAGTGTGTTCCAGTTATGCTTTTGAATAAAGCGATTCTATAGAATGTGTTTTCAGTTATGCTTTTGCATAAAGCGATTGTATGGAATGTTTTTCGGTTATGCTTTTGAATAAAGCGATTGTATGGAATTGGATTATGTTTTCAGTTATGCTCTTGAATAAAGCGATTGTACGGAATGTGTTTTTCCGTTCTGCTTTTGCATCCAGCGATTGTATAGAATGTGTTCCATGCGTTTTTGTTTTTTTGGGGTTTTTTTTTTCTGTGTTGGTGTTGTGTACTCAGGTGAATAATATGTTTCATGCAGGAATAAATGGAGTTAGGCATGCAGTTAGGCATTGAATAAAGCTAAGCGATTCTATGGACTGTGTTTTCAGTTATGCTTTTGAATAAAGTGATTGTATAGAATGTGTTTTCACCTATGCTTTTCAATAAGGCGATTGCAGAGAATGCGTTTTTCAGTTATGCTTTTGAATAAAGTGATTGCAGGGCATGTGTTTCAGTTATGACGTTGGATAAAGCGATTGTATGGACCGCGCTTTCAGTTATGCTTTTGAATAAAGCGATTGCCGGGAATGTGTTTTTCAGTTATGCTTTTGAATAAAGCGCTTGTATGGAATGTTTTTCAGTTATACTTCTGCATAACGCGATTGCAGGAAATGTCTCTCAGTTATGCTTTATTTAACCCTATTTGTACCGGGGATTTTTCATGTTGATATGACCGGGGGTGCGCTGATAGGGCGCACCCCTCAGAAATTCTGCTGATTAACTGCCATTATCCAATAAGTTATATTTTTATTAAGTTTTATCTTTCTTTAACCTAAAAATAACAAAAAAGTTTAATTTACATCCAAAATGCTGTTTTTTCGCACCGTTGGATACGACCGCCTATGAAAAAACACCCGTGTCACAAACTCTCAACAGGTATTACCGAAAATTTCTCAATTGAGAAATGAGGTATTACCGATGTCAGATGATCATCTCCGCCATCTACTTATTCTATTACGCAATTAATGTGTACGTGTTTGCAAAATTGCAAATTACGTCATTTTATACAAAATGGCTGCCGAGTCGAAGGAGTGAATGATTTATTTTATAATTTTAGGTTTGTTCTTGGAAACAAAGACTGGCTCAGAACATCGAGTTGTAAATTATTTTTTGATAAGAAAAGGATGATCAGAATTCAGAATGGAAGTCAGGAAATTATTTCATCTGAACTCTACCCATGCAATCTGAGAATCTTCATTTCTCCGACATTTTTAATCAATTGGTAGTATCACTATATGCGATTATAACTATTTTCGTGGGCTTGTGCTTTTGGATGAGCAGCAGTAATGGCTATCATTTGTCTAACAATATTCATCATCAATATTCTGGTACTTTTCACTATTTAAGATATATAAATAAAAAATACAGATATTTTTAATGCAGAAAGCAAGGATGGAGAAACTAATAAATTGTTTTCAATTAATCTCACTGTAAGTATTTTTATTATTTACGGACTTTATTATTTACCGGTTGCAGTGGGTGCTCAGGACAAAAGCCAAGCCCCGTAGTAAATAGCCTCCTTGAAATTTAGTATCACAGATTTGCATATAGCCTTATAGGATATGTATTCCTATTAGCATTTAGCACTATCCAACAGTCCTTGTTATTGACTTGAGAATGTTATTGAATTGTGTTGAGAATGTTCTACTTGCCTCAGCAAAAAAATCCAGATTTTGCTGTTGAAAAAAGACAAATTTAAGGGATTGCAAGGGCTGTGCAAATAAAGCCTATAGGTTTTAAATTGTCTGCAGTTTTGTTTCAGCTGTTTAATGTCAGCTGTTCGTAGTGTCCCTAGTTTGTCATCATTGACTTATATCAGAAAAACCAAAGAGCAAACCGATAATTGCTGGGTCAAAACCTCAGTGACTAAAAATACAAGGAATAGAAGGAAGAGAGTGCCAAAACAGCTACGTTTTCGGTCATTTCAGCACAATGTACAGATTTGAGAGTTTAGATCAGAAATTAAAACTTTTTGTCGATGCCATTTGGATACTAAGACTATGATCACCAATATTTAAAATGGAAGTCTGATACCCCATGGACACTGCAAATTGTGAGCCCTGTGCATTTGAGATTTTGTATTAGTTAAGCCAATGTAATGTTAATATTTAGTGAATACCCACCAACTCCATACCTGTCACCACTTTGAAGGCAAAATTAGCAGTGCTAAGAGACCCATCTGGAATTTAAACCAGGACCCACTTACTGCAATGTTATGCCACTGGTTGAACTACTCTGTAGATAAGTCATACACTATCATACCGTGACCCTCAGTCATACTCTATGCTGTTTGACAATGCCAGACTTAAATCAACTTTGCAAATAAATACCAGTACTGTATAAGAAAGAATGATCTACTACCGCAGTGTTGGAATGCGCCTGTATCAAATATTTGGTTGGATAAGGGGCTGTCACCAGCATGGGGTGTATTGAGTGTGACGCCCCTCTGAAATCAAGTTGTTGGCAAATTGACTTATATTTGTTGGCAATATTGCTATCAATAATTTACCTCAATTTTGCATTTTCAACTTTTCTGAATGGAAATTTCTTGTTATGTTATAAGTCAAATGAATTACCACACTCCTCTGCTTACACCTATTTGCAGCTACCCCGCTTAAGAAATTTGATGATATTGATTTATTTCTCATTCTAACTCCAAAGCTCTCATTCATTTTCATTTCTTAACCTCTAAATACTTGACTACTTGTACCCCTCTTTACAAAATCCCAGAGGAAGAAAACTGTTAGGTCAAAACGTGATGCAAGCGTGTCTGTCCTACGCTATTTCAACCTCTCGCCTTTTAAATTAACCTGAGTGTTATTATTTATTAATGACAACTTTTTTGTATTTTACTAATATTAATCCCTAATATATTTCATGGTAGAAAATATGCATGGTATCATGATTCTTTGACATATACAGTAGAGCTAGGGGGAGGGCATATAGACCTTATTCATAAATCGTGACGAGGCCTCGTATCCTAGGATACGGGAACAAAACGCGGAAAAACAAGCGAAAACTGCTTAACAAGCCAAATTCAGATGCTATTGTGTCGACTTTAGCGGCTTGTTTCTTGTTGCTTTTTGCGATTTATAACGATTTTTGTGTGTATATTAAGACAGTCTTAATATACACACAAAAATCGTTATAAATCGCAAAAAACTTTGTGCCTACAACGAAAGCGGTAAACGAGGATATTATAAAAGCGACCGGTTTTTCGCCCGTTTTTGTGTGGAAAAAATGACAACGTAGCGATGGTGTTTATCCAGAAGCGAAAAACAGTATTTTACTGAGATTTTAACGTCAATATAAAGGTTTATTCCGTGAAGAATCAAGACAACTATGGAATGGAAGTATAATTTTTCGAATTTTACATAAATATGAAAGAAAATAACAGTAAAAAATCACAAGAGAACGTCAAATGTTATTGATTCGTACGGAAAAATATGAACTATAACTGTGGCTCGATAACATTCTGCAAGCAGCTTACAAGTTTAAAAAATGAAGGTTACATTACCTGAGTGAGTTGTAATCTTATTTCTTCAACAATTGGTTCATATTTCTTACGATTTTGGTGTTGTATAGACGTTTTGTAGCCTTGTTGGTTGTTTGTTTCGGCCAGACAAACTACGACAATAATACAAAGTCAAAGGTTTCCTTTTTCGATTGACTCCAGCATCTTTTGCTTTAAATATCATGTTATATTTTCTCAGAAGTATTTTTTTCAACTTTCAAGCTCAGTTTTATAGATATATTTTCGAAAAAAGCCGTAATATTCACGAAAAAAAGCTGCCATAGCCGACAGCAAAAAAAACATTTTGTCAATTTTCCCGCGTTTTGTTCCCGTTTCCTAGGATACGAGGCCTCATCACGATTTATGAATAAGGTCTATATTCAAATGCAAAATTTTGTTATTTGAATATATGCCACCACCCTTTGCATGTATTCCATATTTTATGGAATATTTGAAGTGAAATGGAACTTTTTGTGGAACTGGAATATGATGGTAATTTTATGGAAATCACGGTATCCTGCAGAAAAAATTGTAAATTGCGCGAAAATACCGGTATACGTTAAAATAACTTAATTAAACTTTTAATGAACTATGTGGACCTAGTGCTTCCCAATGGTGCTTCCTGGTTCTCCCTACATCTGTGCTTTGCGTGTTCTTATCATTTTACTAGAAATACATGCATGCGGCAACCCCTCGCCTATATATTCCAAACCTTGTGTCAACATGAAGTATTCGTAGTTACGCCAACACTGAACGCAGGCTCTCGTTGCCACGTAATGTTAGTCATGGCAACGCGACAATTGTTTGTTAATTTTTTGTACAAACCGGGAAAAAATAGATGAAATTTGAACACTTTTAAATACAGAACTATCAATTTCTAAAATATATAAAGTAGGTATAATATTTTGGTTTCTATGGGCTTTATTTTAATGTAAAATTCAAAACGAAACTCTACGTAAAACGTTTTTAAATGTGAATTGAAATTAACTGCTTTTTGCCGATATTTATAAACTTCTCAAATCGATCTTCAACTCATTACTCGCACTTTGAAATGAAACAAATTTAATTCGTACAGGACGCTAATGAAAATAATTTGCTTTCCTTTTTATCATGAACTTCTGCAAAAGTTAATTTAGCTAAGAAACTTTCGCAAACAATGCATAGGAAAGACGTGAACATCAAGAACAAAGTCTATATTATTAAATACGAAGTCATACATAAACAATTGAAACAAACTTGCCCTATACTTTAGGATATCGATTTATCATTCTTATATCAATGTTTACGTTTAAAAATTGAAAAAATTGTACAATTTGTTATGTGAAACGATTTTGCAAGCTTCCTTGCATGTATTTTTTTATATTTTTTCCTTCTTCACTCCTGGCAAACAGCTATATTTTGAGATCAGTGATGACCACCCACCCAACACTCCAACATTGTTGGTGAGCGCCCGCGGTCATTGATGAACTTTAGACTTCGCTAATGTTTTCGTTTCCCCGGGTGTAAATAGCCGGGGGAAATTAGTACCCTCGCACGGCGCTTCGCGCCGTCGGCTCGGGGAACATTGTTATCAATACTATTCCTTCTCATTCCCATTTTGGGATTATTATTATTATTGAAGACTTTATTGGCATAACCCAATTACAGGTATTACTAAAGCTAAACAATCGAGTGCTATAAGAGCACGTAATAACAAGATATATAAAATATATAGTCTATAAAATGTTCTAATGTCTGAACAGTAATGTTATATGACTACTGTATATGTAGTTTATTTAAAGGTTTTTCCTTTTTTTATATAATATAACAAGTTTTTTATATTAATATAATATAATAATGTCTATAATGGATTATGCTATAATATGATTATTATATTTTTAGGAAGGTGATAGAGGAAGAGGGTAGTTATTTTGAAGGTTTTTTTTAATCCTTTTGTATTTCCAGGGATTTGAGACCATCTTCTCTCTGTTTTGTGCAGAGAAATTGGAATTGGTATTAATTTATGGATTTTTGGTAAATATATGGAAAAATTTAGCTGTCATATCTGGAAATTGAAAATTATAATGCGGAAGCACTGTTTTCGCGCTCTATAGTTATCTGTTATCCGGGATTTGTACTCTGGTTTTCGCGCTCGTCGTTTTGGCTGTTCGCTTCGTTTTTATAATTATATAGTTTATATAAATTTTGCCATTTTACAGAATATTGAGAACTTCTTTGCCTTAAGTGTATATTAATTTGAATTGTCCGTTAACTATTAGTGTGCCTGGTAAAAGAAACCGAATCTCTGATGACCAAAGGAGTATTTTGGAAACCTTCTATTTAGAAGGCATGGTAGGATCTGGGTCATTTTACAAGGCGAAGATCGACAGAGCAATCGGCGAAACTGGACTAACAGAAGCTGAAGTCAAGGTATTTCTTTAAAATTATTTTTAGACGTGCGATATAAAATTTTGTTCTCCCCGGCTTTAGCCATGCATAATATCCGCAATTAAGCAAGGTTTAAAACATGCAAATTTTAGCCATACATACAGGTAACAATATATTGATATTCATAGTGCCACATAGCAAAAACCTATTCTTGTTGTATGAATGTTGGGATACTACAGAATTTTCCTCTGTGGTAGGAATGTGAATCGCTGATGGAACATATTATCTGGTATCCTGTCATTTCTTACTGACCAATATACAGTATAGTCAACTACCACCATTCAATATCAAAACGATCATATCTGTCATATGCCCCCAACATTTCTTATAGGCAGATAAGGCAGCCCACAGTATTTGGGCAGAATACAAAAATTCCTATCTGGGCCTTCATGGTGCTATACGTTTTTATAGGTACCTGTAATGCAGGTATCAATTTTAAGCCCAAGTGGGGGAGGGGGGGGAGGCCGGGCATACGTGAGGGGTTTGACAAGTGGTTGTGCTCCCACCCTGGGGAATTTGGTTCTTAAATTTTGCCCCAGACTCGGGGGTTTTGAACTATACTAATCTTTCTCGTATTATTATGTTCACCATATGTGTGTGCTGACGGTGTGATTTGTGATGCAACCACATGATTTACCAACATGTGTTATCGTAATTATGTGCGTCTTTGCGAGTGTGCCAGCCATTGGAAATTTAAATTATATAAGTAAGTTTTTAATGTTCAATCTATAGATTATTCAAGCCATTAATTTCAGAAAAGTATAATTTTTAATACAATTTCCATAAAAAATCATGCTTACTGATTCAGATTTATACAAATCACGTATATTTAAATTTATTTATATACATGTATGTGAAGTGGCATTGTTTGAGGAAAATAGCGACGTGAAATCAGTCTCACAAACTTTGCATTTTTTCGCTCCTTTTTGGATCAAATTTTTTCGAGTTAACAATCAAGAGCATCATTGACATCACAGAATAGAACTGCAGTTTCTATTCTGTGTTAACATTGCTGACGTAAGAAATAACGAATAATCACACGAGCGACACTTGCCAGGAAAATAGCAACTGTTAGCACAAGTTTCTTTCCCAATTTACGCACCTCTAATATTTAATCTGCTGTGCCCAGGTGTAGGGATTTTGGCTTTATTTGATTGGGTTTTTATGCCCCACTGTCGGGCATTTGAACATTTTCAATGCGAAAAATTCAAATCCCCCACCTTTTCCTGGCCACCCCCCCCCCACCCCCCCTCAGATTTAACATTGTTACCTGCATAACTGGAACATTGCATGCCTGGGATCTGTATCAATGCTTAGAGACAATTTTGTTAAGGAGTATCAATGTCAATGTTTTAATAATAATTGCTCTATGCATGTTCAATAAATGACAATATGATTTGAAATAATGTAGAAAAGAGTAGGATAGATTGTATGGTTGCCTGAACAAATCAAGACTACTGTATTACTATTACTGTAAGCTGATCAGTATTTGGGAATTATTGTAATAAGATAAGAAGCTGAAAATGTTGTATGAGTTTCAAACTGTGGGTTAATTCATTGTATTCCAATTAATGTAATATCTCTGCATTGGTGTCTAAGTACAGTAATATATGAACAAAGAGAATGAGCGTTTCACTTGGATATGCAAACACAAGAAAACAATGTGTGAAAACACGAGCACGAAGCGCAAGTGTTTTCATACACTGTTTTCGAGTGTTTGGATATCCCGGTGAAACAAAATCATCATCAAATATCTTAATTACGTATGCAGCTAAACTCTTGTGGTTGTGTCTGCTAAACTCTTGTGGTTTGTGGTTGTGTCTGACAGTGTTTGACCGTGATATCCAAACAGAATCTTGTGACAGAACGCTTACATGCTATTGGTTTAATTACTCATGAATTATTAATGAATTTGAGAAGTATTAATAACTAATTAATGAATTGTGTTCCATATATGAAGTTGGACATAAAATACCAGAAGTTCAACTTATTTAGGATGGGCAGAGCCATGCTAAATCTGATAGAGGGGTGGATGATAGTACCATGTATGCTGTAGTTACCCAGTTACATGTGACTTTATAAATTTATGATCTTTTTCGTAGAAGTGGATTGGCAACCAAAAACGAATGAAAAAATTGGATATGATATTTTTTGGGTCTTTTACTTTCAAAAGACATATTTTTATGTTATGGCATATCTCAGATGTCCATAAATACCACTATTTTCCTTACCAAGCTAGCTGGCATTTTTGTACCATATGAAAAGACATACAACTGAAACTTACCTGTCTCCCCATATAAACAATGCAAAACATTTTCAACATCACTCATTTTACCTTCATCACTGTGACACTGTCATTGTTGTCATAATGTCCCAGAAATCGCATAATATTCCCAATTGCGCATTCTGCCTAAACCATAGCTCTTTTTGTTGGTATAACTTCTTTAGTATAAATCGAAAAAACGTTGATCTGAACTCTGAAGTCGATCAACAAAAGTTTGTAGAAAATATACGAAATGGCGACAATGGTTTTATACCAATATACTAAGTGTTACATGAAGTGTACCACAGGTGAGCTACGAGCTTGCAGTATAATTTTTAAAACACAATATTCACTTTCAAACTACAATATTCGCAAGAATTTTATGCGAAATATGTTATCTAAAGCCCCGTTTACACTACGCTCAATTTTTGGTACGGCACGGATGACTTGGTACCCGTACCACTTTTTTGGCTCCTGGACTACATATTTAGGTATGAACCAAAAAGCGGCACGGTACCAAAAATTGAGCGTATAGTGTAAAAGGGGCTTAGCTAAATAGGTAATCCAAGAACCAAAAAAGTTGTACAGGTACCAATTTTATCCGTGCCGTACCAAAATTTGAGCGTAGTGTAAACGGGGCTTAAATTCGTATATTGGTCGAATCAAAGACCGTTCATATACTCTGCAATATATCATGGTTCCTACATGTTTGGTGTTTACTCAAAGACAGGAAGATATTATGCGTTGAAGGTACAAAGAAATATGTGTATTTGTGTATACAAAAAATGTTATAAATAAGCATTTTATATTATATACGTATTTTGTAGTAAACTACAGTGTGTATCAAAATATTTCGAATCCAAATTTGACAGACTGCTGTTTATAAAATACTAAAGTAAACGATAAAATTTGTATATGGCAATAAAGAATAGCCTATTAGGTTTCCGATTATATCGTTATTATATCAATAGAACCAAAAATGACCAAGAAATCGTGTGTTCAAACTGGTTGCTCGAAATCAAATTTTTCCGCCGATGGGAATTCGAAGTTGAGACGTACAGACAAAAGATCGAGCAAATTTAATTAATCAACAAACTGTTATGGTAGCAAAATTTACATAAATTCGTGTTCATTTAAAGAGATTTAAGCTCCTATGCCTTCAACATGTTGAACAAGAAGAAATATGCGTTAAATTTACATTTTAGTTTTCAGTGATGATTAGCATTTCAAAGCCTTGTGGGACTAACTTTGAAAGAAAAAATGTCCAATTCTCATCGGCGGAAAATTGTGATTTTTATGGACTTTTTTGTCAAAGTAATACTCCTTCATTTTCCAACTAAATGACGCGTACAACATGTCATTTGAAAAGTAAATAAATGAACTTAACAATGGTGTAAAAACCAACCGAATTTGTCAAATATATTCTGCGTTATTACACGCCAAATTTGGATTCGAATTATTTTGATACACACTGTATATTACATGTTATACTTCATTTTGCTATTTTATATAATATATTATGGATATTTACTTTGCAAATCATGTGTAATAATCCATCTTTATATGTTCTCTAATTATATTATGTTATTTATGTCGTGGGAAGTGATACAGCCAAAAAATACTGTCCAATCTATAGTTTGCCATTTTTGGCCCTGACCCCTTGTCGGACAAATGTCGGCAAACGTTCGTATAACGATGATTTTCCAGAAAATTTTTCGCAGTCATGACGGCAGAGGAAAAATATTAATCATGAAAGCACAGGCAAATGAGATCATTTGTTCAGGAATGACGGATAAATATTTATAGGGGTGCGCTCATTGTGCGCACCCCCGGTACAGATAGGGTTAAACCAGTTGGGATTGTGCAGATAGAAACATGGGCGTACCGAAAGGAAAAATTTAGGGGGGGGCGGAAAGAAAATTGCCCGACTTTTCGGGATTGTGCCCGACTAGTACTGAAAATTTTTTTCCGGAAAAATTATTCTGGCGACCTCCCCCCCCCCATTTTAGGGGTTAAAAAAATTTTCCGGACACCAGAATTTTTCGGAACATTACTTAATTTTACACAAAATTTACAGAATTTGTCCCATTTTTTTTAATTGCAAACCAAAATTGCCCGACTGTTGATTGAATATTGCCCGACTGCCCAACAAACTGAGGGGGCTACCGCCCCCCCCCGCCCCCCGGCCGGTACGCCTATGGATAGAAATTTCTTTAGGCTATGCTTGAAGTGACTGTACAAAATGCGCCGGTTTAATTACGCTTCTGGACAAAGCGATTATATCGCATAAGATTCGTTCATGCTTTGACAGTCACATGCGTAGGCCGCTATCAAATATTCCTTTTGTTGGCTTGCACTTGGCAGGGATCGATTTTAGTGCAGGACGCACTTTGCATGGAGCGAATTTATGCTGAACTCTATTAGCTAATCCTTACCCTAACCCAACCCTTAAACTAATTAAGCCTTCACCTAATTGGCGGCCCTAAATAATTCTAGAGATTTTGACGCCTTTGTCTTCGTTATTTGTAGGAACTTTCATTACAGTCGCTTGACGTTAAGATTGAACGCCTTCAGAACCACACTGAGCGGAATACGGTGGCGGCCGATTTATCTTGTGTACAGACAGAATTACGAAAACCGAAAGGGATCTTTGATCCACTATCGAATTGGGTCCTAAAAGATTATGCGCCCCTGCTGTCTTCCCCTGTTACTTCAATCTTCAACGCCTCCCTTCAACAGGCGTCTGTTCCCGGGGTATGGGAAAAAGCCGACGTCATCCCTGTACCTAAAAATAAGGTGCTGAGGGACATTACTAAAGACTTGCGTCCCATCTCGCTTACTGCCACTTTGTCAAAAACGTGTGAACGTTTTGTCGCAGACTGGCTGATGGAGTTGATTGGTGAGAAGATCGATAAACGGCAATTTGGATCTCTAAAAACTCTTCAACAACACATGCATTATTGAGCCTTCTCCATCACTTATTAAACGAAACTGATGTGCCGAAAAACGCTGTGAGAATTTTTTTATTAGACTTCTCCAAAGCTTTTGACCATATCGATCATAACATCCTCCTCAGTAAATTATCTGATATGGACGTTCCATCATTAATAACAAACTGGATAAGAAGTTTTCTTACTCAACGAAGCCAACGGGTCAGAATGCCCCATTGTGTGTCAGAATGGCAAATCCTCAACGGTGGAGTACCCCAGGGAACTGTTTTAGGCCCAATCCTCTTCCTAATCATGATAAACGATCTCCTCGCTGATTGGAAAGACCGATGGAAATACGTTGACGACACCACCACTACCGAAACCATTGGCCCAGATTGTAACAGCAACCTTCAAGAACTGGTTAATTACATCAATAATTGGACTACGAGTAATAATATGAAATTAAACATTGGAAAATGCAAAGAACTGGTTATTGATTTTGCAAAAAAGAAGCATTGCTTTCCCCCTTTAACAGTCGATAAAGTTAATATTGAACGAGAGAAATCTGCCCGTATCCTTGGCCTCACAGTCCAAGATAACATGAAGTGGAATGAACATATAAATAACATAGTTAAAAAAGCTAGCAAGAGGCTCTATATGCTAAGACTGCTAAAAAGGTCCAACGCGTGTATTGACACGTTAATTACTGTATATACTACCATTATTAGGCCTGTTTTAGAGTACGCATGCCAGGTCTGGCATTACAATATCCAACAATATTTATGTGACGATATTGAAAAAATACAAAAACGCGCGTTGAGAATAATCCTCCCATCGCAAAAGTACGACGAAGCGCTGATCACGACTAACATCACGTCACTGAGAGATCGACGAGAAAAATTATGCGAACATTTCTTTGAGAAGAATATTGACAATGAAAATCTCAAAGATCTTTTACCACAAACAGTTTTATCTGGATATGATCTAAGACCGATATGTAAATATCATAATTATGTTTGCAGAACCGAACGTTTTAAGAATTCGTTTTTACCTCAAAGTATATTAAAGATTAACAGTAAATAAGTTTTTAGAAATGTAAATAATCTTAAATATGTAATTATTATGTAATTTTAACTTATCCTCTTAATTTATGTAATACTGGTGTAATTTAACCTTTTTGGGTTAAAAAGTCAGTAGTCATTAAATCAATTCAATTCAATTCAATTCAATATCCGCGTTGGAGCATTTAAATTTGGTAGACGTCTCACGCGATCACCACGATCCAGCGGCAAAGCGTTCTAATCTTGTCTGCAATCAATGCCGACCATTGGTGTCCCACCCTCCGCTTCAAATGCTTCGGGGGCAGCACACCGATATGTTCGCCGTGAAACCATCTCCCCATTCCAACACCTGCCCAGTTGCTAACCTCGGCTTATACGTTCTTCTATCGGACCGCATGCGGATCAACTTGCGCAAGGTTATTTCTTCCGCGCCACGGACCACCACGGATGCATCGCGGACGCTCCGTTCCTCAGCTCTGCTGCGTCTAACAGACTGAAGAAGTATCTAGGCCAGCTCAAACTGGATGAGGGTGAAACTTTCCACAGCTTTCGTGCGGGTTGCTCCATCACGCTGTCGCTCCTGGGGGCGTCTGATGAAGTGGTCGCGGCCCACGTTGGTTGGCGGAGTCTTGCTACTGCGCGCTAGTACATGCGGACTGATAATATGACTAACCATCCTAAAACATCGGAACTGCTGGTCGACTATAGCAGCGCTTTTGCTACCCGAACTGCCCCAACTTTGGACAACCTTGGTGCATCTTTTCGTTCGAGCCCCAATCGTAACGCCTTTTCATTGGCTTTTCCCTCTCACGTATCTCCTTAGGATATTTCTGGGAATTGGGGAGAGAAGAAGTCTATATATTGCGCTGTTGAAAAACTGGAGAGTAATAACGTGTACTAAGGCCAGGAGCCAAGCAATTCTCGGGCGTGAAAATTATTTTCCCCATTCTTAATCATTATGTCAGCCAAGTGCATTGTTTGGTAGGGCGAGCAGTGAGAATATAATACTATTCTCACTGGGAGTTCTAGCAAACAATGGCACTTTGGTTTAGAATTAGGTGATAGGCTTGCTTAATCCCACTCGGCTAATTCCTTTGGATTGTAGGCCTGCATAAGTATAAGGCCAGAACACGGTTTTTCACAGTTTGCTACGAAGACGATCGAGCCAAGGTAACAAACTTTGTGCTAACCCCCCTCCCCTCGGCCGGGACACCGTGATGCCTCCCCAGGGCCGCCGAGAGGTTGGCGGGGTCCCGGGGTAAATTTTTTTTGGAGGGCCCTCTATCGCAAAAACTTTTTCGGAAAACATTTTTCCGGAGAACGGATAACAACCTCCCTCCCCTCCCCGCCCCATGTACCATTTTAGGCGTCAAAAATTTGTCCGGACTAGTACGTTGCTATTGCTTTCCAGGGACTTTATCTCATTTTTTTATGCCAAATTTCGGTACTTACCCAAGAAAACAGATATCTTGTCCTTTGTGCGGAAATATTTAACAAGCAAAAAAGACTGGGGCCCAACAAAAATATTTCAGGGGCCCCCAACACCTCGGGGCCCGGGGCAATTTGCCCCCGTGCCCCCCCCCCCCTCTCGGCGGCCCTGTGCCTCACCATACAATGCCCTTGGCTGAAAATTATTTTTACCATTCTTAATAATTATGTCAGTCAGGTGCATTGCTTGGTAGGACGAGCAGTGAGAATATAATACAACTAATGACGTCACACGTTCTGCTGAATCAGCAATTTATATTTTACACATTTTTTCGTATAACTTCGGAACTAGATGAGATAGAATAGTGCATTAAACGGCCAATCGGCTTATTTTTTCATGCTCTTTCAGATGAAACAATAAAATTTTTTGTTGCTAATACCCTTTAAGCATAAACGATCTTAGGCCCCTGGCCCTCAGTGGGGAATTGAAATCGAATTGCAAATACAGATCATATTACGGATGTTGTGCTGTATGTACTTGTAAAATGAAAACTTATTAACTGTCATTAAGTAAATCCATAAATTTTCTTTAATACTTTATGCACTCGTTTGTGCAGAAATTTTGACACTTGTGCTATTTTAAATTCCCAGGTACCTAAAGCAATGTCGATTTCTTGGGAAATTCCGTGGTTTCCTTTTTTATACACAACATCACGGAATTCAGTTAAGGCAGAATAATGTATAATGTATACTATAACCATGATACGGGTAACATATTCCTCTAAAAATTCAATGGCATTTCAGTAAACACAGGTAAATTGAATGCACAAATTAATTAATTTTAATCGAAAAAAGAAAAGATTTGCAAATGTTGCGCGAAATGACAATGGCCTAAGAAATTTAGTAAACTATATAGTTTAAAAAAAATTGCCAATGAAATATTCTTTCAGCTAACCTATACTGATATTTAAGCTTATTTCATGGGACGATCGCACGCAAGACATAATATAAGAGTTATAGCTGTGACGACATGCACGCAAGGAATCATGTAGCTTTCGTTTACTGTTCAACATATCCATACAGCCCATATCGTGCAGGAACGCAAACAATTAGCATTGCTTAACATGACATAAATTTGTAACTGCAAAATGTGCGCACGCGCGCGGCAGATCATTGAAATATTTACTATTGTGGGCTATAGGAATACACGCCAACTGTCTGTGGAGCGGTATAATGCATGGGATCGGTATCTTGAGGCCAATTCTTTGCAAACAATATGGAATGATTATTTCTTCCAGCAGACAAAGTAGCTGATTTACTCGTACCACAGAATACACTACATTCGTTCGGTAATTTACGTTCGGTAATTTTCAATACTGACGTGATTTTTCAATTTTATATACTGCCTGTTTGACTTCAAAGTCTAATCGACACGAAATGAAAGTCAAATAACGAACAATGAACTGGATGAGGTTGTAAGTTAAATTGCCCGAGCACCCGTCAATGGGTACTGTTTTAGTTGAGGGCGTCTCTTCCAGATCCTCTGTCAATGTATCACGCGAACGAATGAGAAGAAGTCTGATGCGAGTTGATCCTATTAACTTTGTGCGACGCAAACATCAGGCTATTAATCGAAGAAGATACTTCGCACCAGGCCCAAACGCAAGCACAAGCTCTTTCGATGGCGGTTTGTCGTTCATGGAGGAATCGATGGTTACTCAAGATTGATTGTTTTTATGCGATGTAGCACGAATAACAAAGCGAACACCGTAGCCGAAAGTTTCATTGACGCTGTCCAATACTTTGGTTGGCTTTCACAAACACGTTCAGACTACGGACAAGAAAATGTAGAAGTCGCCAGATTAATGGTTGAACGTCGTGGTCTGAACCGTTCAAATCATATTTGCGGAATATCTGTCCGAAACCAACGAATTGAGAGACTTTGGAGAGATTAATTATTTTCGGTGTCTTGGATCTGTATTTTACGACCTCTTTCCTTTTTTGGAGAATAAAAGGATTCATATCGGCAGAGAATAACAACTATTTGATTTGCTTCCTTTATGTGTTAAAATCACGGATAAATCATGGCATCAGATTATTTAAACATGGATGGAATCATCATAAACTTCGAATGGAGCAGAATCGTACACCCATGCAGCTGTACACCGAAGGAATGCTCCCATTGCCAGGCTCGGACTATACGGCAATCATGGACGTTTTTCAGGGTAACGTCGATAAAATTAATTTCTCTGAGATTGATGAGGAAGAATTTGTACCAGAGTTACAGACATCAAACGATGTGCAAGTGCAACCTGTACATTGTCCTCTTACGCAAAGTGATTTTAATAGTTTACAACAGACAATTAATCCTCTTGCCAGTTGCAATAACTACGGTATATCAATTTATTATATGGACACCAAATTATTTGTGGAAAATTGCTTGAATGTTTGAAAACAGAATGCAGAGTTATGCAATAATGCGAATAAGTACTTATATACTAATGTTATTGATAACTAATTAAATATAAATTCATGGCTAAATGTCGATAATATTTATAAATCAATTAAAGGTTGAAAAAACTGCTGCAATATACTTTTATATCTTGACCTCTTTATGCCCTAAATACACTGCCCTCTCTACGTCTATATTTAAGATATAGAAAACGAGCCGCGTGCGTTAATGGTGTGATAATGCACACGCGATATGCAACAGTAATAATGGAATACCGAATGGTTTTCCGTGCAGGATTGCGTGATCCATGCTGGCATGCACGAGGGATGTCGCAAGACTTTCGAAAAATGTAAAAATGCACGAGCCGCAGGCGAGTGTATTTTTACGCTTCCGAAAGTCGAGCAACATCCCAAGTGCATGATCACGCTATCCTGCTTGGAAACCATTTGGTAATTGTTTTATAAAGTAACCACAGTGAAACAATGACATTTTGAGAATCCCGCGAAAATCCCGCGAGGGCATTTTAATTCCTCGTGCAGGATAGCCTGATCCAGCACGGCTGTTGACCAATCAAATTGTGTATTTCACTGTAGTCATTATATAAACAATCGTACTCAAAAGATCTACATTGAAATTCTCCTAACATGTACTCAATGACATCACGTACATGCTCTTACTCTCCCATTAATTTTTTAACGAGCGAAGGAAAATTATTGAGAACAGTGACACCTATCGTTGAGGATTTGGTCGATAGGACATCGATCCCATAGCAAGACCACCTGTCAAACGTTTGAAAAGAATTTGGAAAAGTAACAAATAAATATAAAAAAAGGCGATGCAACACAGTGACACAGTGCAGTGAAATGATTACATCCGGTAAATTTCCCATTCATCGCAACACTGTAAACTCGCATGTTTGATGCGAGAAGAATGCAGTCTTTATAGTTTCCTTTACTCTATCAACTACGAATCTAAATATTACTGATTATATGCATGTGTCAGCCGTAACTCAAATTGTTGACTCTTAAATCTAAAAAGAATATTCTCAGAGTGGAAGTCCATATTAAGAGGCTGCCGACAGTTTCCAATATATATCAGTGTTTTAAACTAAAAGCTATTTGAATCTAAAGAAACCCTATTTTTTACACGTTTTAAGTCATTGTTTCCTCTTATATAAAAGAGTAATTTTAACCCACAATCGCGACTATTCACGTTCCAATGTCACCACCTATATTGCCTTATATGACCAAAAAGGCCGTCTTAGCGGACAAATAACTACGGTGACCTTCCTTTTTTATTGCAGAAAATACATTGTTATGCAGTTTTAAATCTTTTTTCTAAGTTATTTGAAAATCGACAGTGATTTCGAAAAATTAAATTTCAGCCATTAAGATTGCATTTTAGCCTTTGGAAAGGCTGAAATTCAGTTTCTCGAAAACTACACTGGCGATTTTCAAATAATAACTTTAAAAACTTCATAAAATTCAAAACAGCAATAAAAATGTTAGGTCACCGTGCAGGTTATTTGTCCGTTAGCACGACTTTTTTGGTTGATATATGTTACAGTAGATGGTGACGTCATGTTGCCATGATAGCTTTATATTCAAATTTTAGTTTAAAACACTAATATATACTGGAAACTATAGGGAGCCTCCTTAAGGTGGTTCCCTACAGTTTTAGGGGACGAAACTGACAGACTACTATAATGAATGATCGGAAAGACATACGTTCCAAATAAATCCATTTTCGTCTTGTTTTGGGAGAGGGGTTGTGACTAGTGACTAGCTACAAACAGAAAATAATCACTGAAGTGCATTGATAAGCTTCTGAAGGGAAAGTGTCGAGAAATAATATTAATATTGATATTGCGTATAATATTATGCATGAAAATTAGCATGATATATATTACGGATGTTAGCAGCAACAGAAGGGCTATAACGTATACTGGAAACCTAAATTGACACCTCTAGTAATGTCATCTTACACTTTCGGGGAAATAGTTACTTCCGAAAAAACAAGGCCTCTTTTAAGAATTATTCGGTGAATTAAGAGACCATCAAGAGAAAGGCACCCAATTGGGAGGCAGGGACGTCGCTACCTAAACTTTTTTATGCCCCCCCCCCCTCCTGCCGTCGAGTTGAACGGGAAAAGCGGGTAACTTGTCTCGACCAAAAATTTTTTGTATTTTTAAGTGTCTTGGGCTTGATTTTCAGCATTTTTAGATACAATTTTTACCCGCACCGTAGACCCGCAGTTTTCGCACAAACTTCTATTTTATCTTCGCTAATTTCACAACAAATCGTTTCATTGTTCAACGACACGGATGGATGAAGACACACGATTGCATAACTCAAAACGACTAATTCCTATGAACCAGTCTCTACATTGAACAAAAGACCGGTTTTGCTCGAATTATTTTGAGTTATGTAATTTTAAGCGTGTTGGACGTAAACAACATATCTTGTCTACGATTTTGGGAAGGTACCGATATCGCTTTGTAAAATCCTCAGTTCTAGCTGTATCTCTATAAAATCACAAGGACGTCAATGTTAAGTCGTTGGGCTATATCTCTGGGATGAAAAATAATTCCTTACATGCGATCAAAATGTTTTATACAACGATGTAAAACGATAATCTTATGGAATGGATCAGCATCTCCATTTCCAACACAGTTTCTGAGATGTAATTCAAGAGGTAACTTATCATTGCATTTGAACTATTATATCAGTTGGTGTTATTCTGTGCGATAAGCGAATATTATTGGAAAGAGGGCTGCCATATACGTTGAAATCACCAAATAAACAGCTTATGCACACATTTCTCCACTTCGTCGTAAGTTTACAGAGCAGATTTTATACCTTAATTGGCACTGGTCTTTGTCTTTGGTATGAACATTGATTGCCCTAGTTTAAGGTTATTTAAGATTCATCCTGTCGTAATTCTTCTACTAGCAACCAATCGACAATATTTGACTTTAGCGTTGTCTTTGCCGTTACGTTGGCTTCGCATTACTTTTGTTTTAAATACCTTGATCGCCTTAAATTAATTATTTTTCAGGCCAGTGATATAGTCAAAAGACTTAGCATTAACGTCCTTGTGATTTTGCAGATATATCGCTAGAACTGAGGATTTTAGAAGGCGTTATCTGTACCTTGCCGAAATTGTAGACACGATATGTTGTTTACGTGCAACACGCATAAGATTACATAACTCAAAATAATTCGGGAAAAACCGGTCTTTTGTTAAAAGGAAGACTGGTTAATAGAAATTGGTCGTTTTGAGTGATATACTCGTGTGGCGTCATCGATCAGTGTCGTTGAACAATGTAAAAATTTGTTGTGAAATTAGCGAAGATAAAATAGAATTTTGTGAGAAAACTGCGGGTTTACGGCGCAGGAAGTTTTCGGATTCGAACTCAGCGTGCTTGAAAGTGTTAGTTCCCGTAAAAATATTTCTGTTCCAAGACATCCTTAACGAAAGTGAACGATATCATGACGCAGCAAACGGCATATTAAAAGAGGCCCTGCGAAAGAAGGTGAGTAATATTTATTACATGGAACGCATCACTTCGCTGAAATGGCGAACTGTGATTGGATGAGAAGCATTTTCAGCGGTGACTTATTTTCCATTCATGGACCGGCGGTCCATTACGTAAAATCGAACTCACGCATTTTAAAACAAAACAGCAAATCTAATTGAAAATTTGAAAATTATAATTTAACAATTTGTTATTAATAAAATATCTGCGAATGGTTTAATGTAGAAAGGGAGGGATACATTTGTAGTTTTTGTTTTCTTCGAACAAATGTGTATCAAGAACCCCTGTCCAGGCTGGTAAAATGTCTCCCAGACAACAATTGGGACTTAAGGGGGGTAGGGAAGGCTAATGTTTTCGAGTTGCTAAACGAGTTGCTAAACGAGTTATAAAAAACATTATAACGGGCGTGACACCAAGGAGTTTCATGAAACGAAGTTTTTATCAGCATTTTATTTTCATAAAATACGTCATAACGGGTATTCCAAGGGACGAATTTGTTAACAAGGCCTACCTGGACGTTTGAAATTAAACTCTTGAATATTAGTAGACGATAGATGTTCTTCTCGAAGCTCACTCAACGTCACAGCCACGGGTTTAGTTTTATATCAACAAGAAAAGGCAGAATTGTTAATCCTCAGAAAATTGCTATTGGCCGTTGTATTCAGCAGAACATTTGTTTAATCAGAAGCGTGATTGGATATACTTGATATTTGTGAGAGATTATAAAATAACTCGCTGTTCGAAGTGCAATGTGAAGAATGAATAAGTCCATTAATAAACAGTGTATTTAGCTTAATATTCTCTATGAGACTATGTCTATTTAAAAGTATCGAGCGGAGTGCTGGATCTAAATGTACTGATTTTCGTGAAAAATTCGCCGGTGTTTCCTAGAACCTCAGCAAGCCACCGCAGAGGATTGCAGGCTCAGGGTTCGAGATTGGGTAGCGTAGTACCAACCTCGTATCCAAGCTCTTTCCATTACGTTCCTCGCTGGAGGAAAGACCCTGATAACAAAAATTTTACATAAGATGATAAGGATGGGGAGCTATGTTTGTTTTACCGATCTAGTTGCCGATATCAGAGTGTTTATTTTAACAAATTCATGTAATTTTAATGAATAGCAATAGCTTGTATTGCAAAATCAATGCGGTGAAATGTCTTTGTATTACGTATTCGTTGTGGATTGCATTTGCGACGTCACAACGCAAGCTCTACGTACTTGAGTCTTTCTGTTTCATATTGGGCAAAACTGCAAAGAAGCACTAGAAAAGGATTTGTAATGTACTCAGTGAAGGACAAGCAATGAAAATGTGCCTAGCAGCCAACAGCGAATCTATTGTAAATTGCTGTAAATTGTAATCCTGAGTGGAACGGCGGCTAGATAGCACGACACATGCATAATCTGCACATGAATATCGATAGTATGTCTATGGAGTTTTAGTACATATTCAATTTCCTTGTGTTTCAATAAGACAGTGGTCAGGAGATTACATATGGTTAGATCCAGTTGTTGTCAAAGCAAGACACTAATCCCCAGTCTTTTCCCTTTCTTTTCACAAATTTCCTCTTGCAGACAACAGGTGGGAAAATTGACAGAGATAAACAACATGAACAAAGCCTTCGAAAGACAATTTTTCAGCGGTTGTTTAGGCCCACTGGTCACCACAAAAACTAGATTCACTAACAAAATAATTTGCAGAAATACATTGATTTCCTCTATTGCCACATATTTTACAATGACTTTAAATTATTAATATCGATTATTTCAGTGTAAAACAAAACGGAGCTAAAAATTTCTTTTGAAAATGTCGTTTGATAGCATCAATAAAATCATGTAAAATTGAAACAAAAAATACACTAAAACTGTCTGTACCATGCAGTGTGGGTAGTACCAATGTGAAACTGCTGCAACAACTCAAAATATAGGACGTGCGATAACCTGATCATGAGAATAATTATATGAGATACGAAATAAACTATAAACACATAGGCAGACGGGGCGAGTTTTTTGCTTATTATAAAAATAAATAGAATAAATTTTCTCAATATTTGAGGGAAATATGCAATATAGGGCTAATAGTCAACAATAGAGGAAAATATAATATATGACTAGAAAATGCATGCATGCAGAAACCCCCGCCTTCTGACACAACCATGTATTTTCCGAACATGAAATATCTTAAGTAGTTGTCATGGTAACCCTATAATTTTTTAAGAATGTTTTCAGAAATCAAAAATTTCCTAAAAATATAACTTTTAATTACAAAATTACCAATTTCCCAAACATATATATGTTAGGTATGTTTTATACGTAATATAAGCTCCATTTCAAGGTAAAGTTCAACCAAAACCGCTGCGCAAAACTTTTTAAAGTGTTCTTTATAAAACTAAACTGCCCAATTTTGGTTTATCGATAAACTTTGAGTTTGAAATAAAATGATTTCAAATTCTCGCATGCAAACAACGTTGCTTTCTTTTTTATTTAAACAATTTAATATAATAAAAAATAATAATCAATATAAAAGATACACTGAAATTATATTCTGTCTTGTTGCGTTTTATTTAAGCTGGGCCGCCGAGAGCTTGACGGGGGCCCGGGGAAAATTTTTTTAGGGGCCCCTATTTAATCTTTAGGGAAAATTTTTAAGGAAAAATTTTTTAGGGTCACCGTTTTTAGGGAAAAAGTTTTTGCGGACGAGTACGTTGTAATTGTTTTCCATCGACTTTACCTCAATTTATCATACCAATGTTGGTACTTTGCCAAAAAAATAAATATTTTGCCCTTTGTGCGGAATATTTCAGCCAAAATAATTACTGGGGCCCAATAAAAAATTTCTAGGGGCCCCCAGAACCTGGGGGGCCGGGAAAATTTGCCCCCCTGGCCCCCTCTCGGCGACCCTGTATATAAGCAACTGACGATAGGCTTTTTAAATTATAAAGCAAACAGTACATTAATAATAATAGTTAAAACAAATTTACCTTTGTTAACGCTTCTTTCGCCTGAAAAAGCTTTTGAAATTCACCGAGAAATTCACAAAATCTTGCAAAAATGAGATATATTTGCAAGAAATCATCAAATCAAAAGACTCTCGCTATTTCGCTGTCGTCATGCAGTCGTTATAATGCAAATTTTAAATTTGACCAATCACAGTGTTCGCTATTCATGACAGTCCGCCATACTTTTGAGATCAGTGAGGATGACCTCCCACGCACTGTGGGCCACGCCCGCGATCGTTGGTGAACTTTAATTCGCTAATGCTTTCGCTAATGCTTTCGCTAATGCTTTCGCTAATGCTTTCGCTAATGCTTTCGCTAATGCTTTCGCCAATGCTTTCGCTAATGCTTCGCTAATGCTTTCGTTTCCCGGGTGTAAATAGCCGGGAAGAATTCGTACCCTCGCCCCGGGCTTACGCCCGGAAAGGCGCTACCGCCGTTGACTCGGGGAATATAAAATTTATTTTAAATTATAATACATTCCAAATTCCCCCCCTCCCCATCGTCGACAACTATTTTGGAAACTTTACAGGGAAAATATATTTACAAGGCTGGAACAATGGGAGAGTCGGGAAAATTTATTTCCGCCGCCTTACTTTTTGTAAACGTATTTTTTTTATCATTTTAGCAGTCCAGTACCTTTTAATAAAACAATAAAAAATGAGGCAAAAATTTCGTTTCATAAGCACTTTCATATTTTTTTTTGTATTATTTTACAAATTTAACAGATATTGAATAGTACGCTTCACAGACTATCCGGTTTAATTAAGTTAAATTGATATTCAAGTCTAAATTCTAGATTCCTAAATCGTAGTTTCATACAATTGCAAGTGAAAGTAACCATATGGAAACATATCATTCAAGTAATAAAAAAGATAGCAAAGTTAAAACGTTATTGTTCAAGTAAATTTAGAATAAAGTTACAGGTACATAGTGCGGCAAGATAATAAACGAAAATGATCGTACAAACGCTTACAAACAGGCCAAACTCGTATATTTGATATACCGCAGGTACGTGGGGTTCCAGTTGTTCCGGGTAACCGTTCCGTCACCCCGAATTTAAGAGAAATAAGTGCTTCATGGCTGAAATAGCTCGTATTCCAGCGTGCTACGGGTGTTTCACGGGGGGTTATTTGTGTTCAAGGATTTACAGATGAGGCTCCGGGGTAGGTTCTTGGTGGGGTTCAGCGTTTTACGGACACCCCATCTGCAAGGATCAACATATGCAAAATATCACACTATATGAAGATCTAGAAAATCCCATTAAGGTGGCTCGATATAGTTATCACAAACGACCTGCTCATGAATCGCGAAGAAAGCCGGGTGACCA